GGGTTATGTTATTTGGCGTAGAGATGTTGGAGGTGGAGTTGTCCCCATCAGTGTTTAGGACATAGGTGACCATGATGTAATGTGGCTGATGAAAGCCAGTAGGAATGGAAACAAACATGTTTGCTGAGCAGCCCTGGGCACGGGTAGAGAGCTAGAAACTCGGTTCCAAGAGAGCAATTTGGAAAATATTTAGAAGTTTTCCTCCTTGTAATTTAAGTCCGAGATCTCTCTAGAACTGCGTTTCCCTGTATGGTGACACATATTTGGACCATTTGAAATATAAATCTGCAAAGTACTGCAAGGAGACAGACATGAGCACGGAAGGTCCTTTCTCATCCCCCGCAGGGTCTTGGGTCTCTCCACAGAGGAGGGCTATGGGGGACCTGTCATTCAGCCCCATGGGCTCAGTTCCCCAGCAGTCTGGGGGGCAAGCCAGGTGGCTGCTCCTTTGCAGGTGCTTTCCTTCATGCATAACTGCATTGGGGTCTTAATTTTCTCCTTTTTGCAAAAACAATTCAAATAGGTTCTGATGCAATTCCTCTTGGGGTTGCCAGGATGAGCAAATTAGTCCAACCTGAAACAGGCTAATTCCTGCGAGCTTCCCCGGAAGAGCGGTGAGCAAGAGGATAGGTCATGAGCAGATTCTGTTTCCTTGAAAACTTCTCACTGACTTGCCTGTCCGTGAGGGACATACTCCTTGTAGCCGGAGTAGAATGCGGGGCAGCCTCCACACCTCCACTCTACACGTGCTGAATTTCTCGTCCAGGCCGCCATGAACGAGACCACTAGGGTTAGGTGCTGCCCGGGGCCACTGACCCCTTAAGGAGCCCACCAGATCGGTCATCGTCATGAGACAAGATGCTTTCATTGGATCCTGGGGGTTTGTTTTGGTTTGGTATTTGGTGGTTTTGTTGTTGTTGTTGTTGTGTTGTGTTGTGTTTTTTGGTCAGGGGCGGAATCCCGTTTTGTGTTTTTTTTTTTTTTCATCAAATGCTACATATTTGGTGCTAACAAGAACAGGACATTAGTGTAAGATACTTAAAATAAGGTGGTGTTTGGGACATGGAGAAAACAGGGGCAAAACAGAATTAGAGGTTGGACTGACCAGAAGAAGCTTCTCAAAATTGTTGTTTGAATGTGAGTTGCTCAAAGAATGGGTCAGAAAACAGCCTCAGTTTATACTCGTTTAGAGAAAAGCTAAAGCGTCCTCGGGCACCCCCATTCTGGTTTGTTAATGTGGAAATGATGGGTGTTCTTAGAGTTCCTACAGCACGGAGGCTGCGGGGTGTGCCTCTCTGGTGCCCCACGATACGGGATAAGGTTGAGGATGTGATTCTCGCTCACTATGATCCAGTTGTCCTTTCAGCCAGCAGATCAGACCCGTGGTGTGGAGCTTGACTTTAGGTCTAACCACTCCGTAATCAATAGTAGCAGTGGATTTTGATATAGTTTTACACTGAGTCACTGTCTTCTGAGGAACAGATTTAAAACCCTTTCTTTTGACTATTAAAACTGGTCCTCAACCAAACCTCTGACAACATGTAAACTCTCCTCTTTAGCCAACTAAGTTGTATCTCCACTCCCGTTTTTAAAATGGGTGTGAGAGGGGCGCCTGGGTGGCTCAGTGGGTTAAAGCCTCGGCCTTCAGCTCAGGTCATGATCCCAGGGTCCTGGGATCGAGCCCCGCATCGGGCTCTCTGCTCCGCGGGGAGCCTGCTTCCCCCTCTCTCTCTCTCTGCCTACTTGTGATCTCTGTCAAATAAATAAATAAAATCTTTAAAAATGGGTGTGAGAGCGTATCTCCAGGCCACCTCTGTCCCACTCTCCCAGCACAGGAGCTGGGCGCTCTCCCCGGGGAGCTGCTCAGCAGCCATGTCTTGATTCTAGTCAGATCCGTTGATGACTTCAGTGCTCTGAGAACCTTAGATGGGAACATCTTCTCTCTTACAAATCGCCTGTTTGACCGGGTTGTCTTCTGCTCCTAAGATTTATTTAATTTCCTTCCGTCTCATTCAAGCCCATCTAAGAAGATGCACAAGTGGTTCTGTATTATCAAGTTCCCACTGAGCTTTTCTCATACACATGTCAGATCTCATCTTTTCTGCAGATGACAGAAAAAGTATTATGGGGTGAGAAGGTGTACCCCAATAGTCACTCATCTAGAAGTGATGGGGGGACCACACACACACGTGCACACACACATGCGTGCGCTTGCACACACACACACACACACGAGTTCTTCGTAAAGGGGTACGTGAGGGTCCCAACAGAAGAGCTTCAGTTATGTACCCGTTTCAGTGCGTTGAGTAAAATCGCCTTACTGACTGGTCCTTCCCTTCATCTTACCAAGCTGAGGGCTTGTTCGATTGTTGTCGCTGGTCTAGGAATGTATGACAGTGTTCAGTAGGAAGTGTGCCCTGCAAAAGCATTACCTGGAGTGACCTGGTACTCACACGGAAGCTCGAACCACACACAGCTCTGCCCCCCAACCCCCGCCTTCAGGAAGCCTGATGCCAGCACTTATGAAACCCTGATCTTCTGCTTCCTCGTAGCCTCGTTAAACCTCCTGACAAGGCCCTTTGTCCCTATCTCAGTGTCTAGCTCTGACAGTTTAAATTCCGTTTCTTCTCGGAGGAGGAATACCGGGCTTTCATTTATTAAGACATTTGGTGTGTGCCTGATGTCATCGAGAACCGAACGGAGACGCATCTATCTGATTCTAAAACTCAGGGTCCTGGATCATATGGAAACAGTGGTTCCCTCTCTGGATGGCCTCAGGGAGGTTTGCTTTCTACTAATGATTTGGGCCATTTCCCTCTGTTTTTTGTTTCATAAAGCAGGCATAATTTCCATCAATGTCCAAATTCCTTCCCTGGCCCCCTTCATCCAGGGTTCTGTAAGATGGTATAAACTTAACTCACGGTTTTGTAACAAAACAACCACCACCACCACCAAAAATCAAGAAAAACAAAAACTGGGCTGGGACCCAGATGGAAATGTACCAATTACCACATACCAGGCCTTCTCCATGACACTCTAGAAATCTACTGGACAGCAGTACCCCCAGAGAGGCCTCCAGACAAACTGTTAATGGGGGGGGGCTGTATCTGATCACTACCAAAAATGAACCAATAGAGAATGCCAGGTAAAGTATTGAATAAATTACTCCCCTTTAAAGCTTAAAACTTCATTTTTTTTTAAAATGCAAGCCTCTCTTTTCCACTTTATTCCAAGTTTGTTGAACATACCAAGTAATCTGACATCAAATCAGCAAACACTTAAAAAATAAGTATCTAGACTGATTATTTCCAAATAATTTTGGCAATTGGATCTAGTGTAGTGCAGTACTGCTGTATGAAATTTCTGCCTTAGAACGTAGAAAAATGGCAACTAACTTTTACATATCGAATCCCAAGAGTGCTTCAAAGTTCTGGAAAATATTTTGTATTCTCTGAAGTAAGGAAAACACTTCCTACTCCATTTCTTTTAATCCTAATCTGCATGATTCACGTTTACAACCAATGCCTCTTTTTTGGATAAACTTTAGTCTCACACGTGTGAGAATCCTCAGGGATCACAAGTCAACAGGATCCAAGTGAGGCCCTATTCAGTCCATTTATGAGTCATTTAACACTTTTATTAGAAAGAGGAAGTCCTTGTTCTGGGTCTCTTTAGAAGCACAAAATAGATTTCTGTATTAGCAGAGCCTTATTTCCCTTCATGAACACAGTAAGTGAGAACACATGGAGCCCACTCTGGGCTGGGCTTGGCATCCCCCGAAGCATCACTACGTCTTGAGAAAAGTCCTAGAGCGAGGACAGCTCTGTCATGTGGAGGGACAGCCGTAAGCCTGGAGAAGGGGCTTCCAAGGCCCCGGCTAACTCCAGGCTACCATGAGCTGACCGTTGAGCTTACTGCATCCAAACGCTGAGATCCTCCTAAGAGACCTCCCACGTTATAAATCAGTCTTTTTAAGATTTCGTGATAATCCTTGCAATATAGAGTAGAGTGGGACATCTCTCTATTGTCAACATGTGCGACAACATGCAATGACCTCGTGAATCGAAATCAGCAACTGACACTCGGTGACTGGCTTGGAGATACAGGTAAAGACTGTGGCAGACCCGTGTCACAGGGAAAGGAGTATTTTGGTCCCAAAGATCCCCTTTGAGAATCAGGAGATTCTAGATGTATTCCAGAAAGACCACAGCAGACCTACTCATAGGCCTGGGATTGACTTAATCTTGGAGGGGAAAGAAAGGGACAGGAGAAGGGGGAAGAAGACACAGAACTGCTGGTAGGATTCAACTTCCACCGTTGACGCATCACGCACATCTGTACTAGTCCCACTGACCAACCTATAAGGCCCTTCTGTTCTTCTATTGACCAGGAAACTAAGATTAAGGGACTCTCCCAAGGGTATTTATTTATTCAGCAAATACTACGTAGCAGGAACTATTTCAGGTGCCACAAAACAATGGTGAACAAGGAAAAGGCAGATTTTGTGGGGATTAAATATTACTTTAATATTTTCATACAAAAAATACATAATAAATGATCACACCACACATAAATACACGTATACAGTACATTTGAAACGAAGTTTTTACACACGTACATGAGAACTTATCTGATATGTCTCTACTTTTTCTTTTTCAAAGCTCATTTGGTAATAACCAATGAGACTGATTTCATGATCCACTAACAATCGCAATCCACAGTTTGGAAACCTGATTCCAGCAGACTTGAATGGCGTGGACTAATATTGATATTAATATTTCCTCAAGGCCTGGGGACTCATCTCCATCTTTTTCAGCGTGTAGTTTAGCGATGAGAAGAAAGGAGAAGCCGGAGGCCACCAGCCTCCTGCCGCAGCCTGCAGTGGTTCGGCAGAGACTCGAACTCCGGCTTGGGTCTCCCGTGAAGTGCAAATGCCTCTTCTTTGTGATAATGGTGTGTTTTATCTTTTTCCTCTAAACTTTTTCATTCTTCCCACATAGGCTGACCACAGAATACCCAGGCCACTACGGGGAGGAAATGGACATGATTTCCTACAATTATGACTATTACATGCGAGGCGCAACCACCACATTCTCAGCCGTGGAAAGGTGAGCGTTCCCAGAGCAAAGACCACGTCAGCAGGGGTCTCCGGGATTTTCCCTACTTTATTTCTACATGGTCGAGAAAAAGCGGAGAGTCGCCTGGGGCTTGGAAGGCCCTGGGTGGGGCGCTGTTCTCACAAACCCACTTCATGGAGAAGCTCAGCCATGGGGAGGAGGACGGGCTCCAGGCCGCGCGGAGCAGGAGAGCCTCAGCAAGGTCTCTGACGTTCTAAGCTCTGCCCGTCGCTCAATCTCAAAGAGCACTTTTTCTGACCCAGTGTCGGGAGGAGAGGGCAAAACTGGTCGAAGGAGGACCCACTGTCAACTGGACCCCGTGGCCGCCGCCGACCCTCACCCAGAGAAGGGAAGGGGACCCCCCATACTCGGAAAGGAAAGGATTTACATAACCTGAAGGCAGGCAGAATTCCTCCATCTCCTTCCCTAATAAGCTCCCAGGCCTATCCCAGCCACTCAAACACAAAACAGTAAGACCACGTCTTCTCCCAGCGAGTGTAGACGGCGCCAGTAAAGGCAGGGGCTTCCCGCCAGGTGAGCACATGAGCGCTGCACGTGAATCCCTGAAAAGCCACCATAAACCTTTTGCAAACAGCAAAACTTACCTTCGCTCATTAAATAATAGACTGATGAATGTGAGCGTGACTCATCTCTCAGGGATATTTATGTTTTTCAATGAAATGACATCACACTAACCAAAGTTAGCATGGCCCAGAATTTAAACAACCAAAACAATAGAAGGAAAAAAACATCAAATAGCTCTGAAAGGGCGCCTGACATGGTGCAGCTCCACAAACAAAGACCTTTATGTTTACCCCCAAGGGGCCCCTCATTTCTCACACGTTAGTCCCTTTTATTTTACATCCAGTTCTAAGTAGCTTACTCAGCTGTTTTCTAGAAGCAGAACACTAGAAACTGAACAGGGAGGAGCAGACATAAGTGGAACTCTTCAGCAGTGAGGACAGCAAACTGACCAAGCACTCACACGAAAGGTATTTAAGAAAAGGAAAGACTTAAGAACTCGAAACCGTGGGAGCCTGGTGACAGTTAGCAGGTGTGTCACCCCCAAGGGCAGACTGCATGACAGTGCAGGGGGCATCCAGTATTCTTAACGATGTCTCCAAGTCAGTAAGAAAATTAGTTCTGCGTTGCCTGGTTAAGAAGGCAAGAAGGAACATAATAAAGGAAATACCATCCAAAATTACGACACTCTCTCTCTATCTCTCTCTCTATATGTATATATATATATATATAAAATAAAATTATGACTATATACAGTCATAATTTTGGGTGGTATTTTCTTTATTATATATATATGCATATGCCCGTCAAAATATCCAATTCCCATTGGCTTGAAATTTTTCAGTTACGTAGAGTAACCCAGGACCTTGGAAAACTGAGATGCCGTGTCATGTATTTGTTGAAAACAAGCAGGCCCATGCGGTTGTACTGCTGTCATTAACAATTAGTGGCTTAATGATCCACAGCATGTGTCCCTTCAGCTCTGCTGAAAGATGCTAAGGCCACTGGCTTGGAGAAATGGCACCACTGTAGGACCTACTGGGAGGGACTTTTGCGCATCCTGGTGGGTTCCTCCTGGCACCCAGTCGCTCAGCCTGAGCGCTACTGACAGATAAGTTCTCTGTTGCAGGAGACTACCCTGTCATTCCAGATGTTTAGTAGCAGGCTTGGCCCCAGTTGCTGGATGGCAGTAGCAACCACCCCTCCCCCATAGTTGTGACAACGAAAACTGTCCTGGGGAGCCAAAGCGCCCCTGCTTGAGAGCCACTGCCCTGGAGAGAAATCAAAGACTGTGTGTGACTGAGTCCCTCGGTCCTTTTAGGGCCGCGTCTAAAACTTGCTCAGCAGCGATCAGTCTCTTACGGGAGTGGCGTGAGTGCCTAAGAGCCTTTTTATCTGCCTGTCGGTGTGCAGATGAAGACGTGCCCACGGTAACAAAAGTCATTATAAACAGGCGCGCCACCAGTTTGCTCTTCTCCGTCTGGAAGAGCCAGGTCCTCTTCTGACAAGTGCAGGAATAAATACTAACACGTAGCTGGGCACAAGGCTCTCGGGACTTGTGCCAGGAGACCCTCTTCCCAGTCCTTTCACACAAATGCCTCGGAGCAGCAGACTGAGAACTGCAAAGCCTTACGCACGTGCTGGCGGACCGGCACGTCCCATAGCCGCTGGCAAGAGGGTATCTCCCAGAGCTAAGTGTGGTCAGGCCCGCGGTCCAGATCAGAGGCCGGACGGAGACCTTCTCCGTACTGGCTGTCATTTAGGATAAGCCAACCTAGGAAGAAGCCTTGCAGGTTGAAAGGGAGAAGGATAATTTGAAGATTAAATGACCCAGCTGTGCTTTGGAAGGATTTGCATGATCATATATAGAATGACTCTTTATTTTGGCCCTTTGTTGGGACTTTGCAAAGGACGTGACCGCCATGTCCTCTGGTGGGGTTACGGGCAGGTCATCGCGGGGGTATTGTGGTGTAAGAGAAAGGACAAGCGTTCAGTCCACACACTTGGACCTGGAGTTTTCCCCTCCTTGTCTTACGGAAAGTCACACGTTTCTGTGTCTGCCTCTCCGCCTAAATGATGACTCCCAGGGAGGATCACACGCGCACACTTGCCCCGGTGCAGCGCTGGGTGTACTGAACCACTCGGAGCGCAGTGGCCGTGGTCCACGTAGCGCTGTGCAGAGTAGGCAGCGAGAAGTTCCCACTCAGTAGGTACACGAAGAACACAGGCTTACCCTCAGCAAAGACATTCCCTGAAACACATCCGCACCACGTTTCCCAAAGCTGAGCAATCCCACATCTCTCCCTCCGCGCCTGACCTCTGGACACAGACGCAACCCAGACTGTCCGCAGGAGCGGCGGGCGCTTTCCTGTCCACTCTCTGGGGTTTGCGAGTTGTTTCCCTTCACTTCATGTCCTCACGGTCGTGTTTGCTGCTGCACACGTGTATAGTGTGAGCCTAGAACTTGGTCCGCACACGTGTATGCGCCCACGGGTACGCAGTAAGAGCTTAGATGAGCGAACGGGTGGCCTAGTTAAGATTCTTGACCACAGGACAGAGACAAGGTTGAATAAATGCTTGTATTTCAAGCTGTTAACCTGTGTGTCCTCGAGGTACCCGTGGACAGAGCAGTGCAGCTCACCCCGAGGGACGGGTCACCGAGTGCCCTGGGCCGGAAGGTGTCGAGGGGCCTCTTAAGTTCCCCAACCCTCCGAAGGTCATTCAGCGCTTTCCGGGCAGCAGGGCCTTTCTCACTGGCCTCGGCTTTCTGACTCTGTCCCCACAGGGACCGCCAGTGGAAGTTCATAATGTGCCGCATGACGGACTATGACTGCGAGTTTGCAAGCGTGTAGGTCCGCTGCTCGCCGAGTGCGGGGGAGGCCAGGGAGCCGGGAGAGCCGCGTCTGCCCGCGTCGCCCTCCGCCGGACCCCGGTGCGTCTTCTGCTCTGTTCTTCCCCTGACCTGGTTGGCGGCTGCCACGCCAGCTTCCCGGGCCTTTCTAGCGAGTATCACACTTACAATAAAATCCACAATTAAAGTGCGTTCTCACTTTCAACATGTTCCGTAGCGACCGTTGCGTGTGACTGACGATGGCTTCCTTGCACGCCGCGTAGATGTGCGCGTCTCACAGCCAGAAAAGAGCTGGGTTCCAGGAGCACCTGCCGGAGCCTCGCTGCTGCTTTTGCCGCAGCAAAATGGAACCCAGGGTCCTCACCAAGCCTTGAAGGGACATGTGCCCACCGCCCCCCACCACATCAGCCATGCTTGTCGGGAAGTCCCAAGTGCGGGGCTCTGAGCTCATGGAGGGTGCGGACAGGGAGGTCAAATGCAGGGATACAAGCATCTGGGCAGAGCTGGACGGCTTAGGGCTGGAAGAGTTCCCTAACTGAAGGAAGGTTCTAGGCACCAGTAATGACAATGATACAGAAACCTATGCAGATGCGGCTCCAGTCAGACAGGAACAAGGGAGGAGAGAGAATGGGACTCGGGTTAGGAACCTGGGGGCAAGGAAAGAGTAGCTGGGTGGCTTTGGGGACAGAAAAGGGGGGTTGGGTCATGGGCACCTGGAGGTGGTCCCGGGCTCCTGGAGAGAGTCATGGTTCCTGGAGCCCTGAGAGTCACGGCAAACTCACCTGCATCGGTGCCCATTTTCCAGCTGGGAAAGGCCGCCCTGAGACTCCACTTCCCTTCTCTGCAGAGTTCAGGGGTGTTTTTTGCGGAGGTAACACTACCCTTCCTCCTCCTCTGATGTCTCTGTCTGCAGCCCTTTGTACTGTCTTCATCCTAAAAAGAATAAAGACGTTAACCTTCACTACGCTGCCAAGGTGGAGGGTCAGTTTTTGCTCTCTGCCCCCCTCCCCTTCCAATGACTCATCTGGAAAATGTGGCTTAGCATTGTAATTCGTGCCAAGCCCTGTGCCTTACTGCAGTGGTGAGGACAGAGTACGGTCAGCAAGTCTAACGACCGAAACAGAAAGTGCCAACAAAAGACCGGACGAGCGGCAGAACCACAGTTTTGGGCGTTGAACCGAACCTGATTTGCCGTCAGCCTCCTCCCACCTGCAGACCACGTGCATTTTTTAAAGAGTATTATGTTCCATGAGCCGGCGCAGGTGCGTTATTAGTTTTAGATGTAGCGTCCACAGCACTTTTGACACAGGGCCCCTGTTCCCTTTATCCTCACAGTTTACCTTTTGTTTTCAAATCCGGGCCGCCCTTCCCTCCTCCTCTCCCCCAGAAGACCCAGGAGAGTAGGGGCTGGGCAAAACCACGGGGTTACCTCCCTCGTCGTGCAGGTGGCCGAGATGGTGGACCCTGGGCCGTGCAGGTGCGTCTCCCTGGTGACATCCTGGGGTGGTGAAGGGGAAGGTGGGGCTCCAAGGTCCTCCTTTCCTCCTCTTTGCCCTGTAAGGCCATGTTTCACATTATGGCTTTGCTTTAGTGGCTCCATTTCAGCGCTGGCCGCCTCCCTGGCAATTTTAATTTACAGCAACCTTTACCGTGTTATTGTTCACAAAGCAGCCATTAATATTTCAGCGTTTACCGCACCGGTGCAGGATGGCAGCCAGGAAACGGCCTTCCCTGGGCCTGTGGAGCACAGCTGGGAGGCAGCCCTGAGGAGAACAAAGGGCTGCTGAAAGGGGCCACAGGGGGAGGCGGTGCAGGCTGGAGGGCTGCAGCTGGGAGGGGCCGTCCCGGGGCCTGCAAGAGAGCAAAGCCCAAAACACACCCGATAAAGCCATCTGGTAAGTGCCTGTGCCAAGGACAGTGAATAGGTTTTTACCACTAAAAGCTACTCTTTGCATGGAGGCCAAGGACAATGACCGTAAAGACGTTGTCACCGTGATTCAAATCTGAGCGACGTACGCGTTGTATCGCACGTCATCTGGAAAGAGCCACGCGTTGGCTGGGGGCTAACCCCGCGCTCTTGCTGCTCTGGAGCCTTGGACACGCCCCCCGCCCCCCCATTCTGTGAGGACATTTATTCAGGTAACCTTGGTGGTTTCTTGCAATTCTAGAATTCTGTAAACTCTGCTGTTGGTCCCAAACTGTTTGGAAGGACCCTTGCTAAGGCATTTTCTTCCAGACTGGAAGCCCGAGATGAGAGTTGAAAAGAGGAGTCTGACCTCTGACCCTGACAGGGGGTGGCCTCGTCCGATAAGACACATCCCCAGGCCACCGTTTCCTCCTCTGCCCAGTACGGACCGAACCCCTGTCCCGACAGCTTCCCAAGATGGTGGCCACACAAAGTGGGAAGAAGAGAGACGGGATTCCCCCCTCCCAGGGACTACGGTCCTGGAAGATGGACAATGAAGCCTCGGGTGTGGGAAAGTTTCCTGAGGAAGCGAGCTCTCCGCCTGGCCCCGAGGGAAAGGGGAACAGCCCAGGTAAGTGGAAGAGCACGTGGGGCTTTGCTCGACCGTCCAGGCACAAGTTCCGCTCCATGACTTACCAGCTTCATGACCTTGGCCTGGTCATCCGTCTTTCCCGATCGACTTTCTTGCCAGCGGAGAGTCACGGGCCCGCAGCCTGCTGCAAGGGCTCCGTGAGGTTTCAGTGTCTCGCACGGGAGCGCCCGGAAATACCGTAGGAGGAGCGGCGCTATCCCTGTGCGGTCAGAGAGAAGGTTCCTCGGGTGAGTGGACGCTAGTAAGGTCAACAGTGGGAACAGTTTTCCAAAGAGATGGAGCGTCCTTTTTGCTCTCGTGGATTTCTTCCCTTCAGCTACTCAGTCGGTAACGTAGTCAGTGTTTATCACACGCCAGTCACGGTTCCAGGACCTCCCGGCGCTCCGGGGGGCCAGAGGGTGAGGGAGCCCGGCAAGCACCGCCGTCCAGTCCGGGCGGAGGAGTCGGGGACAGGCAGCACTTCAGGACAGAGGACAGGGTGGGGGGCGAGAAGGCGCTGTGGCATTTCAGGCAATGGGAACGACGTGGTAGAAGACCCAAAAACACGGACGGGCTCGGGAAAGCTTCCCGAGGAAACCCTGACGTCAGCAGAGTCCGGCCCAACACGCCGTCATGACGACCTAAGGAGGGACCGGGAGCGCACGGGAGCGCCATCGCGGGTTCCACTGTTTGGGCAAAGGAATGGCCATTTGTGGTGTGTGTCTGGAACTCCGTTTCGGCTGGGGCTTCCTACAAATCTCGGAGTGGGAATTCACCCCGTGCTCCCTCCTCACTGCCCCCTTCCTTCCTCCCCAGTGCCATGGCCTGGGGGGGGCCCCTCTCCACGCTGGGGCTTCGTCCCCACGTACCGTCTTTTTGATCAATTATCTTGACCCAGACACGAAACTCGACACTTTTTTGGTTCCTTCAGAAGACTGTATTCTTACAGAAGCATTAGTGAACGCAAAACCCAAAAAGGTAAACCTAGACATTCCCTTCTTCCATGGTTTTTTCCTGCTTGCGTGCGAACCCTCGCTATGCGGCTCTTCCTCTCTCCAGCTCGTCTCCCTCTAGCCCCGGCCTGCTCGGCTCTCCTCACCCTCCCAACCCTTCTCCCCCTGTCAGCAAGGAAAAATGTTGTTTGGTGCAGCCCACACCCAAACACCCAAACAGCTGGGCCAACGCAACCGAGGTCACACAGTCAACAGCGTCCACGCTCCCTACGAAGCCTCAGGTCAACTTCAGGTAACCCACTTCTGCCGAGTTCTGTTACGTTAAAACCCTGTGCTGAGATGTGACGGCTGAACCCGGCGGCCGTGGGGTCCACGGGCAGTGCGTAAGGGAAAAGTCAGTGAGTCAGTGCGTAAGGGAAGCCTTCACACAGCGCTCAGCCCAAGCGGGTGTGTGAGCCTTTGCTTACTGAACTGCTGGGTTTCTTTTTATCAGTTCACCCCTTTTTGCAAAGCAAGGACAAGAAACACGCCGACTTCCCGAGTCATTTTTAATGACTGATAATACAGTCACACAGAGCTCAGATTTCACGGAACTGACGACTTCGGCACAGAATGGAGGTCCTGCCAAAGAGTGGGAGGTTTGTCCCGTCTCGTCGTTTAAGGAGACTATGTCCACGGTCTCCTTAAAACTGAAAACCAGTCAGAACTCCTCACGGGCTTCAACCCCAAGTGTCCGAGCCCGCTGTGCCTTGGGAGCGCCGGAAGCCACCCGCTCTGTGACCCTCCTTCCCTCCTGACGCGGCCGCAGGAGCCGCTATCGGTGCGAGTGTGCGTCTGCGTCGGTGAAACTCACAGACCCGAAATACTGAAGAATGCAGATTATTACGTTGTCTGCACTGGGGCATCCCTCTGTGTTTCTTTGTTCTCTCCTTTTCTGCCTTTCTCAACTTTAAAAACAATTGCCACTGACTGTGTTCATAAAAGAGAAAAGTAATTTTAATCTTATCAAACAAAAACAGTCACCACGGCCCAACAGTTCAGCCCTAGGACCTCGTTCCAGCCAAAAGGTGAGCATATGGTGGCTTCACGGAAAGAGATCACGAAACCAGACCCTTTCATCTAACCAGCTGCCTGGTGGCTTATAATTTAATATGCAGAAGTACCTGCTCTTTCCATAGCTGCTCACCACCCCCAGGGACAAGGGAACAGATGTTCGGTCTGTCAGGTGGCCAATGGGAAACTGTCATTTAAACGTCCTCCACTCACCAAAGTCCTTGGCGTCCTTCAGGGCCAAGCAGACACTCGGCTTCCTCAGAAAACTTCCTCCACCTTCTGACACCTGCCCAGGGTCCTTTCCTTGCTCCCTCGATACTGTCCATCTTCCTTCTCTCTCCTGTCTCTCTTGTTCTCTGGCAGGTTTCTAATGCCTAGTGAGGGGTCTTACATATAGTGGACATCCAAGACATGAATTTTAAAACTAATCTGCATTTCTGTCAGTTTTTATGAGCAAGACCTCTCCTAATGAGGGTTGATGCCATCTCCCACTTTCTTTTT